TGAGTAGTAGAAGAGGCAGATTAGTAGGTGAGGCAATCTGGCACACAGAAACCTGTGTGTGCCAGATTGTAAGCGTAAGACACAGTGGGGGAAAAAAGGGAGTGCTTAAGTCAACTTGGGAAGTTAGGGAGGGCTTCCCAGAGGAGAACAGGATTCAAGATTTGATGGATAATCAGGAGTTTGACAGATAAAAGCAACTGAGAGAAGAAGGGCCTGAGACAGAAATCAGGTTGTTATTGCCTTTCAGGACAGTTGGGATGCTGGAGCCAAGAACAGAGCTGGAACAAAGTTAATGTTATTTTTATAAGCTAGAAAAATATCAGCAGCAGGAGCCCTGGCCAGAACTACTCCCACAAAGTACAAACAAAGCTACTCCTATCTTCTGACTGTCTGCTGGAGAACTTACTAACCAGTACCTTAAGAACAAAATGTTCTTTCATCATTGATTTTTATTCAAACAAAGTCCTTCCTCCTCTTTTTCCAGAACTGGGAAAAGCATGGGTTGAGTTTTGCTTGCTTCTTTGATCTTTATCCTCCCATCCCAGGCCTTCCTTGGGAATGAAAGTTCAGGGGTATTTCTCCAAAGCAGAATGCTGACCCCTCATACTAGTCAGAATGTGGGGTCTAAAGCAGGCCATGCCAGGTCAGCATTTGAAGTGACTACAGTTGTCAGGGTTTGTTGGTGAGAGGCCTGGATGGCCTCTCCCTGGATGGCAATTCCGAATCCAAAGCTGGTCTGTACTTGACATTCAGAAATCTCTTAACATAGAGTTCACTTAGCCAGTTCTTGAGGGTATTTCTGACCTCAACCTATACAGAATCACAAAGTAGTGAATCCTGCATTCTGCTGTCTCTCACTCTCTCACTGCATAAAAGGAAACAAACGTTCTGAGAAGCACCATATTTGTAGGCAGAGACAAAATCTAAATCCAGAACTTAAAATTCCATGTTGAGTGCCCTTATCATAGCATCACAATATGTCTCAGGGATTAGCTGTCCCAAACCTATATTATTAAGCTACAAATATGCAGGCAGGAGAGAACAATGAGAATTTTCTTTCCAAAACGAATGGACTTTGCCTGATTTGTTCACTGCTGATAATCTCCAGTGCCTAGACCAATCACTGACAGGTTGCATTCACTCAATTATATTTAGTTAATATAGAGTTGGACCCATGGACAACCTTTTCAAGACTTTCAGGCCTCTGTTCACCTCTACATCCTAATAGGGGTATAGGAAGGGCAGAAATGAGAGGAAACATTTGCTCCCAGGCCTCCTGTCTTTTTTGATATATCCTAATCTTGGATTGGCTGTAAGGTGAAGGGTAAAGGAAGAGGCGTAAGAAGGCATAATAAGGATAAAACATAGTCAACGTACATTAAGTAAGTCTGTACTATCCCATCGTCATGGACTAGCACCTTCCTGTGCCCTTCCCAGCCACTGCTGGCATCTAAGTTCAGGCCTTAAAGAATGCAAGATTCTTATTCTATCTTTCCATTTAAAAAAAAAAAACAAAAAACAAAAAACTATTCTATCTTTCCACTAACAAAAATAGGAAAGTTACTAACTTACTGCATTAGTCCGTTTTTATGCTGCTGATAAAGACAAACCTGAGACTGGGAAGAAGAGGATGTTTAATTTGATTTACAGTTCCACAATGGCTGGGAGGTCTCACAATCATGGCAGAGGACAAAAGGCACGTCTTACATGGTGGCAGCAAGAAAGAATGAGGAAGCAGCAAAGGCGGAAACCCATAATAAACCCATCAGATCTTGTGAGACTTACTATCACAAGAATAGCATGGGAAAGACCGGCCCTTATGATTCAATTACCTCCCCCTAAGTCCCTCCCACAACACGTGGGGATTCTGGGAGATATAATTCAGTTGAGATTTGAATAGGGACACAGCCAAATCATTATCATTCCGCCCCTGGCCCTTCCAAATCTCAGGTCCTCACATGATTTCAAAACCAATCATGCCCTCCCAACGATCCCCCAAAGTGTTAACTCATTTCAGAATTAACCCAAAAGTCCACAGTCCAGTCTCATCTGAGACAAGGCAAGTCCCTTCCACCTATGAGTCTGTAAAATAAAAAACAAGGCAGTTACTTCCTAGATACAATGGGGGTACAGGTATTAGGCAAATACAGCCATTCCAAAGGGGAGAAATTGGACAAAACAAAGGGGTTGCAGGGCCCAGGCAAGTCCAAAATCCAGCAAGGCAGTCAAATTTTTAAAGCTCCAAAATGATCTCCTTTGACTCCAGGTCTCATATCCAGGTCACACTGATGCAAAAGGTAGGTTCCTATGGTCTTGGGCAGCGCTGCCCCTGTGGTTTTGCAGGGTACAGCTTCCCTCCAAGCTGCTTCCCCAACAGTCCTCCAAAGTCTTAACTCATTTCAGAATTAACCCAAAAGTCCACAGTCCAAAGTCTCATCTGAGACAAGGCAAGTCTCTTCCACCTATGAGCCTGTTACCCAGTACCAAAGTTGCATCCACATTTTCAAATATCTTTTCAGCAACGCCCCACTCTACTGGTACCAATTTACTGTATTAGTCTGTTTTTATGCTGCTGATAAAGACATACCTGAGACGGGGAAGAAAAGGAGGTTTAGTTTGACTTACAGTTCCACATGGCTGGGGAGGTCTCATAATCATGGTGGAGGGCAAAAAGCACCTCTTACACGGTTGCAGCAAGAGAGAATGAGGAAGAAGCAGAAGCGGAAACCCCTGATAAACCCATCAGATCTTGTGAGACTTATTCACTGTCATGAGAATAGTATGGGAAAGACCAGCCTCCATGATTCAATTATCTCCCTCTGGGTCCTTCCCACAACACGTGGGAATTCTGGGAGATACAACTCGGTGGAGATTTGAATGGGGACACAGCCAAACCATATCACTTAAAGCATTTACATTTTACGGGGAACAAAAGGCTTAAGCCAAAGCTTCTAAGGGTAAAACTTCTGCCACTGAATATCTCTGTTTAGGAAAAAGATGAGGGTCATTGGCAGTCTTCCCTCCTGGAGGACATAGTGAGTCCTGGGCAGGAGTGAGAAGGTGGGTTTTGGCACGTCCCTGAGGGAAGTCTGGGAAACTGACAAGGAAACTGTAGTGTCTGCAGCTCTTCAAGCAGCAGTTCTCTTTCTTTCAGCATATGCTGGTCCCAGCCAAGTGCCTGTCACCCAGGTAGGGGTGGATGATTGACACTGTCACCCCAGGGATAATTTTGAAAGCATGACAGGGAAAACTTTTGTGGCCTCACGCATGATCTGGAATGTCAGGATTGCTAGGGCACAGAAACACTCCATGTCTTTCTAGACCTTAAGTTCTCTCTGTGCTTGTACATAAAAACCAAAATCTTAGCATTCCAATCAAAAGCACACATTGCTCACAATGAAAAGTATTTGGAAAGAAACAACCTTGCCTGTAATCGGAACTACATCACATAGCATTCAATCAACCTACATATATTATGAGTTGTTTGCTAATTCTTAGGCACTGTTTTAGATCCTGAGGACAGAGAGATGAACAGGACAGACATGTTCATAGACTGATGAGAGCGGTATTGTAGTATGGAAGTCCATGTAGTATGTAGAACAAGGCACCATTTAATAATCTGTTGCATAAGAAGGCAGATTAATCTTTACTATTTAAAGCCATCTCACTTTATTCTTGCCTTAATGTGACTATTCATTTAATAAACTTATAAGCAACTATAGGAGCCAGATATAGGGCTTGGCCTGAAGGATACAGGACAAATAACCTAATGTTCCTGCTCTCAAGGAGTTCACAGTCTAATGGAAATGACAAGCAGATATATTAGAAATTACAATGCAATATGATCATTTCTTCAAACAGTTTGCTGAAAAAAGCATAATTTTGAGAATTTCTAAATACACTTGAGTGTTTCATGGAAGGCTATGCAGAGCAGAAATCATCTGATATGGGTCTTGCAGTTAGAGGAAGAGTTAGCCAGCTGGAGTAGTGGAGGACCAATCATTCTGGGCAGAGAACATGTGTGCCAAGTCACAGAGGTGTAAATGCATGGGCACAGTAAGGGCAGGGTTGATGGAAGTGTCTGAAAGTATACACACATAAAATGGAAACACAGTTCAACAAAGCAGTGCCTTCCCTTACTTTGTGAAATGTACTCTGATGTTTTCTACTTTGTTCTATTCAATTCTGTTCCATTCTGTTGTGCAAATTCAGTGGTCATGTCCCGCTAAATTGATCTCATGAATTATAAATCATAGTTTAAAACAAAACACTGTTAGAATGAAAGGCTAGGGAAAAAATATATGGCTATCGTTGAGACGAGAGATGCTGAGAACCAGAACAACCTCCTCTGCAAAAAACACACACAACCTGCAATAAGGATGAGGAAGACGATAGTCATCATTCTTTACTGTAATTCTTTGTTTCCCTGTGTGTTTTCCCATTAAAATCTGGGGAAGAGACCTTGGTTTTATTTGGTTTTGTTTTAAGTTCACTGTCTCCTAGCACCATGCCTGGACATGGTAAGTGTTTAACGGGTGTTTTGTGAATGAACAAATGAATACATGAATGAAAGGCTTGAGAGTTATGTAGAAGATAAAATCAAGACTACAAGCAAGGAACTGGATATAGGACATAAGCCAAATATATTATTAAAATAAATCTATGAGACTTATATGGGTTTTGGAGTACCATTACAAAAAAACAGTAGAGCTAAGTGTGGTAAGAAATTAACATATCTTTTCTGAATTTTCAGTAAACAAAAGAACTATGCAGAAAGTTATTCAAATAAATTTTTTTCTATTGCCATGTATAAAGAAATTAATACAATTATAAATAAATTTTATCATTAATGAAAAGTTCTATAATTCTATCCAAATGCCTAATCTTGAACACCAAAGTCCTTGACTTTTGCTTTAAAAACAGAAAAGGAGTGTCATCGGTTCTAGGGAATATTCCATTTGAATACGGTTTTGGCTGTAGGCAACAAATAAAGAGATTACCTAGTCCTCCTGCATGGGCATCAATGAGTGAAGCTGCAACCGCAATCCCAGGGAGAAGGCCAAGGTCTCTTGCTGCCTCTGGTGTGAGCCCATTTCCAAGAGAAGCTCCAGGAGGTAGCACTTGGTTTCCTGGGTAGACATGAGAAAAAACAAACACATCAGTTTGAAAAACACAAAAGTAAACAGAGGGTTTTATTTAAGAGAAACTCTTTGCTCCCTCCTCCCTCCTCTGCATTTGCAAAGATAAAAACCATGCAGTCATCAAGAGGCCCTTTGCTCATCCAGTGACTTTGGTGTACATGCTTGGTACCTATGGGTCATGCTCTGGGGAGCTTTACAAACCAGGAGCTCTAAAGCATCATTCAATCCAAAGATTCTGAAAATGGAAAATTTCAAAAGGAATATAAACACAGTAGCTTCTTAAATACAAGGTTCAAATGCTCAAACCATTCCAAATGGGCTTCCTAACACGGTAGATCTACAAACCTACTTAAACGCACATGAACCCATGTGTTCATACATGCATACACCCTCTCTAATGAACATATATTCCTAAGTCAAGAAAACTTACTCTCGAGTAGCTTCCCTGGCAGAGGATAAGGGGAAAGAGATGTACTTTGCAGCAACAAATAATTTGTTAAAATTTTTTTCTCAGCTGGAAAGGACACTCCAGTCTAAACCTTTGCAAATTTTACAAGGCTGCCACTTGCACAACCATATAATACAATTTGAATGATGTTCTTTGGAGTTGTGCAATGCAGTGACCCTGATTTTTCAAGTGACCTTGAATTCTTGCAATCAGTCAGGCCTTCAGTTAAGAATTTATTGATTGTCTTGCTTTGTGTGGGTGCTGTGGGGCTGTAAAAAGCAGCCCTTGCCCCCAGCCTAGTTAGGAAGACAAGATAAGGACACAGAGAACCACGTAAGACAGAATAGAATGAAATGATCCATCTGCTCCTAGGTGTTAAACAGAGTCTGAGCCCTCTTTCATCCCCCAAGGAATTCTATAGCATTTCTGCACTGCAGGGAGGGACTAGGAGTTGACTCATAGATATACTAAGATCCCTTTGAGCCCCAAGATAGAATCTGGGTGCATGATCAGCAATTTTTGAGTGCTAAGATGCCACTTGTTAATTGTTCCATGGAGCTCAAGGGCTGGGCAGAGGTGCTCCAGGACCTCTGGGGATAGAGGTGAGGGTGGAGGTTGGGAGAGGGGTCAGAGAGCGAACAGCTTAACCACCCTCCTCTAAATGGAACCAAAGCACCTCCACGACACCATTTTTATCCATTTTAAGTAAAGAGCTTCTATCTGTAATTAAATATGAAAACAAGTTTAGATAGGAAAAGGAAGACTGAAACCTCTGCAGTGACTTCTAGGAGAACTTTGCTGTTCACTATGGCAGCCACTAGTCACATGTGGACTGAGCACTTGAAGTATGTCTAGAATAACTCAGGGACTAAATTCTTCATTTTATTTAGTTTTAACTTCAACTTATTCAATTCAGTTACTGAAAAACTTTTAATTATGTTTGGAACAACTTGGGCATGCAAATCTACTTTTTCTATATTAATTTAAGAAATAAAAATCAAGTATTTCCAACAAAAATATAGCATCCGAATTGAGAGGTGTTAAGCGGAAAATACACACCAGATGTCAAAGATTTCATCTGGAAAAATGAATGTAAAATATCTCAATAATTTTTATATCAATTCTATGTTAAAATAATAATTTGAATATATTAAGTTAAATAAGAGAGATTAAAAATTAGTGTCACTTTCTTTAGCATGGCTACTGAAAAATTTAAAATTACATATGTGGCTCATATTACATTTCTATTGGACACTGATGGTCTGGAGGATAAGGTTAAGATGCTCAGAGGATGGGGCAGAGAAGAGGAAAATCTTAGTCTGTTTTGAATGTCAAAGTGGCAGAAACCTGGAAAAGAGCAGTGCCCTTGGCTTTGTACAATACCGTTCTGGACAATATCTAAATTATGTCACTATGTCTAGTATCTAACACAGGAGAGACTGCAGTCTGGTTTGCTGAGCACTTTCATGCTGGGGTCTGCACTAAGGACACAGCATGCATTTTCTCATTTCATTTTCGTATCACCCCTCTGTGAAGGATAACATAATACCCATACTACCCCATTTCACAGACAGATGGGAAAATTGTGGTTTATAGAAGAAAAGTAAACTCCCTAGTGACAGCCTAAGAGCTGAAGACAGGCCATGGGTTCTACTCTGACTGATACCCAAACCTCTGCTCTTATTCATTACATTACGTTTTGGAGTAAATGTTGTTTAAAAGTGCGTTCTGAATGGATGAAGGGATCAAGAGAAGTATTTTTAGAACAAGCGTTATGTATGTTAAAAATAAATAAATAAATAATAAAAAAAAAGAGCACCATTTAGAAATCTTGCCTACTAAATTGGGATTTTTAAAAAACGGTTTTCATAGGAAGGTCAAAATGGAAATTCTGTTCCACCTTCATCCCCAATCTCCACAAACATAAAAGGTGTAATTTTTATAAAAAAGGTTCCAGACTGGAGTAGCAGGGTGGGGCACTCTTCCAAGTTTTCTCTATAGTAATTTAGGAAGAAACCTTAGCTGGTAAAGGAGCTTAATTTGATTCTATGTCCTCTAGGCTCAGAACATGAGGCTGCAGACCACTGTGAGGCAGAAAGTGTCCTGAGCATGCAGGCAGGAGATCCGGGTCTAATCATAGGCTGTTGGACCACAGGGATCTTCATCAGCAGAGGACGCGTCTTCGAGCAAGGACAGGAAAAAAGGGAGAAGGGGCCCCTAAGGGAACTATCAAAAGGGCTAGGTAAATTGGAACAGAATCTGGGGTGCGGACTGGTAGGGGGTGAGTGTTGAAGGACAGAGCAGGCTTGGGAGGCAGATAGGGGCAGAGGATGCAGCGCCCTGTAATCCATACTTAAGTGTTTGAACTTAATCGTGAAGCCCACTGTAAACCACTAAAGGAGCATTAAGCCAGGAGGAAAGCAATTAAACTTGTGTTTTTTTAAAGCACTCTGTGGCAGTATTATAGCAGAGGATAGACTGGGGTTAGGGAAAACAGTGTGAAGCTATTTCAGTAATCAAAGAGAGAGAGAAAATATAAGGATCTTCACTGAGGTATTGAATTGAGCTGTAGAAACAGAGGCAGACAGAAGAGATTCCATGGAACAAGAAATAACAGGTCACAGTGGTTGCGTGGATATAGGAAGCATGGTAGAGACTGAGATGCCATGGCCCAAACTCCCCTGTAAGGATGGAGTAAAGTCGGCAGACAGCTGCCAGATGTTCCAGGGCCTGCCTCAGTTGCAGAGAGCTGCCTTCCCGAGGTGCTGCACCTCCCAGGATGGCCAGCACCTGGTGACTTGGCAAAGCAGAGGCAGAAGGGCTCTGATGGATACCACTCCCTCCAGAGACTCTGCTGGGTTCACCAAGGTGCTGCAAGAATGCACCTTGGTTCAGCTCTTTTTCCTCTACCCAGTCCTTCTCTCTCTTCCTTCTTTCACAGTTGACCATCCTTAATGCCCCCCAAATCTGTCTCAGCCTTTGCTTCTGGAAAACCCAACCTACAGCAGTGAACCAGCCTTCTCCTCAATCCAGTGGTTAGGGATGAAAATAAATATATACAAGGACAAACATCCCTTCTTTCATTTGGAACCACAGCCTTCAGGAATAGGCTATCTGGACTCCAAGCAGGAAGGAGCTTTGTTTATTTACAGACCAAAATGAAACAGCTTCGCACGAGAGAAGATGGTAGACATAGGTGAGAATCCCTGAGAAATCACTGCTTCAAAATCACACTCTAAGTGTATCAGCCAGAGGTACACTGAGGACACTAGAGCTGTCAGAAGCAAACATTAGTGCCTCCTGACAACTTTTCCCAATCTAATCCTTGTTTGGCTTTTCTTTCACCATAAAATTAAATTATTCACAGCACTGCTTTTCCCAGAAATCAAGACTTCACTGCCTGAGCATTTGCAGTTCTTTCTAGGCTTCACTCAACCATTCATTCATGCATTTTAACAAACATTTCAGTAACAATAGAACTAATGATGGCCTGCATAGATTTCCATCTACCATGTGCTAAGATCTAGGTGCTGAGGTCTCATATTGTGGTTTGGGACAAAGACGATGAAAAACTAAGACTCTTAAGACCATGTAGAAAATGCTAGAAAGGTGAAATGTGTACATGGTGTTCCCAGAGAACTGCGGAGGGTCCAGTTAGGGTGGCTAGTAGAGTGAATACAGTCTTCAAGGTGAAGATGACTTTGAAGCCTGTGTGGAAAGGGAAGTTGGAGATTGGTGGTTTCAGTGCTGGCATGCTCTGGGGAAAGGGATGACAGCAGAGCAAAAAGTGAGTTTACTATAGGGAGCCCTGAGGGGCATGGTGTGTTTGAGGCATTGAGTATGTAGCAAAAAGGGGTCCAGGGAGGAATAGAGAACTGGAACAGACTGGACGAAAGGCAGCGGAGGGCTTCAGGCGTGGCCAGGCAATAAGGAATTGCCCAGAGGGGCATGACTGTGAGTGCTCAGATTGGGTTTTTAAGAAGATAAACGTGGCCAGACATGGTGGCTCATGCCTGTAATCCCCAGCACTTTCAGAGGCTGAAGTGGGCGGATCACGAGGTCAGGAGTTTGAGACCAACCTGGCCAACATGGTGAAACCCCGTCTCTACTAAAAATAGCTGAGTATGGTGGCAGTTGCCTATAATTCCAGCTACTCAGGAGGCTGAGGCAGGAGAATCGCCTGAACCCAGGAAGGCGGAGTGCAATAAGCTGAGATTGCGCCACTGAACTCCAGCCTGGGCAACAAGAGCAAGACTCCATTTCAAAAAAAGAAAGAAAGAAAGAACTAGATAAACACGCAGTGTAAAGTAAAGCTTGGGGAATAATTTTTATCTTTAAAACAGTCAAACCAAGTGAAAAATGCAGGCTGCAAAACATTATGTAGTATATGACTTCCTTTTGTTAAATTAACTTAAACATGTCTCTCTGTAATTTCAACCTAAAGGTTTCTTCATACATAGTGACTGTAACCTAACTGGATTTGTAAACACACTGTAGCCTACTCTTGTAACTAGAAGCCGAGTCTCAGCCAATCACAGAA